TACCACAGGGATGCAAGGTCACACACACTGAAATGACACATCTGAATACTAAACACACCCTTAGACTTACTGACCATGCATGCACACTTTGTCACACAACACCCGCGAATCCAAGGCCCCTGTCTGTCCACCCTGGTAATAATGGTTAACAGCTGTGCATGTTATCCCATTGCTGCCTATGGGTGTCTCATAGCTCTGCTGGGTTATATAAAGACTCGTGATTGCATGTTCGGACACGCTCTGACGATCTCTGTGGAGTCATACGATCTTTCGACTTAGGACCAAGGCCAGTTTATTCTGTTTAAACTGACAGGACAAACATGTGGTCCAATTCCTCTGCAACACCTAATGAATAATTGATGACGTTTATACCGAAGTGAAACAGCCACCAATTGAAACGTAGAGAAACAAGTTAGTGAATTTCAGTCGGTAGCTAGGTGGGTTGGATTTATTGCTGTTTTTGAAATGTATTGCTTCCAAGTCAACCATTTGTTACTGTATCTGCCCTTAAGTTAAAACAAAGAGCTCTACTCATAAAGGCACTGGGTGGGGTTATCATGGATGCAGTCAATATTTTATTATTTTTAATAGCACTCTGTGTTTTTGTTGCCTTGAAAGGATTAAACTGTCCATGTTGACAACTGTTGCTGTATTTCTGCTATGATTGTCATCACTGTAGGATTCACTGGTGTACTTTCAATGGATCATATTCCTATGGCACTTACAGTATGATCACCTGTTGTTTGGCCTTCTTCTTTTTAGCATCATTGCAAATGAATCATCAGCAGATATGTGATATATTTTGAATAATTATCCCCATAAGCTCCCTTTTGTTTGTGTTTCATGTGTCAAAGGCATCGACTGTACCATATATCTATTTTGAAATGTCATTCCCTTGTGCGATTTTTCTCCTGGTTCATAAATCTCATTGATCATGTTTTTTGCATTTGATTGTCAGTGTGGCAGAGGCATCAATGGAGGGGAGATGGCAATTTTTGCCTCCAGAGCAGGGCCAAGCCCCTGCTGGCACCCATCATGCTTTGCGTGTGCCACGTGTCAAGAACTGCTGGTGGATCTGATATATTTCTACCAAAATGGCAAGATCCTCTGTGGAAGACATCACGCTGAGCTTCTTAAACCACGATGCTCTTCTTGTGATGAGGTAATATGCTGTAAAATTAGCACTACCCACTACCACTTGTGTTCTACAATGAACCATGGCAATGTACCAAGTCCATAGAGTTCCACAGAACTTACAGTGGTATGTGTTTTTTTTTTTTTTTCCATTAGATCATATTTTCGGATGAGTGCACTGAAGCAGAGGGTCGTCACTGGCACATGAAGCACTTTGCCTGTTTTGAGTGTGAAACTATGCTAGGGGGTCAGCGATACATCATGAAAGATGGCCGGCCCTACTGTTGCGGATGCTTTGAGTCACTATATGCAGAGTACTGTGAGGCCTGTGGTGAAAACATTGGTGAGTTTCTAGAAAGATCTTTACTTTGTTTATTTGCTTCTAATTATCCATCTTTTGACATTAGTATAAAGAATGAAACATTTTATACCTAAGTTCCTTTTCATCCAACAATCCTTTAGGTGTCGACCATGCCCAGATGACCTATGAAGGTGTACACTGGCACGCCACAGACCAGTGCTTCTGTTGTGCCCAGTGCAAGACATCATTGCTGGGCTGTCCCTTCCTGCCAAAGCAGGGTCGCATCTATTGCTCAAAGGCCTGCAGCCAGGGGGAAGATATTCACGCCTCCGACTCATCTGATTCTGCCTTCCAGTCTGCCCGCTCACGTGAGTCACGGCGTAGCGTGCGCATGGGGAAGAGCAGCAGGCCTGCTGAACAATGGACACAGTCACAGCTGTTTAACCCCCCTGCTACTGTCCCCTCCTTTGAGTGTAAGTTTGGAGATGGAGAGGGTGATGTAGATGCTGATTGCGACATTGGTATAGTAGGGCGCAAGTTGGCCCGCCTAGGACTGGAGGAGGAGAGGTACTGGAGGGACCGGGAGGAGCAGGATGGCGGTGGAGAGGAAGATCCAGAGGAGTGGGCTCAGCATGACGACTATATGACTCAGCTCCTGCTCAAGTTTGGAGACCGTGGGATGTTACACCAACTTCAGCAGCCATCCCCAAAATCTCCCAGCCCTAGCAGTGACAGAAAAAGGCTAATACATGTCTCTGACCCATGGCTAAAGCCTGATACCACAACTATGGGGGTTACCGCCTCGTCTCCCACACCTGCCAGTCCCACCCAGAGCCAGACTTCCAATCAATCCCAAGCCAACAGCCTTAGCCCTGGACTGATAAGCAAGAAGCACCTGCCTGAAATGTACTGGGCCCAGTCACAGGACGGGTTGGGAGACTCAGCCTATGGGAGTCATCCAGGTCCTGCCAGTGCCAGAAAGATCCAAGAGCTGGAATTGGACCAGGATCAGGAGCAATCTGGGACAGGAAGACAGGCCTTCTGGCCAGACACCAGGCAGTGGTATGAAGACTCCCTTGAGTGCATCGCTGATGAGCTGAGGAAAGCTGAGCAGGGAGCTGGAGACTCCATGGACTCCCTGGCGCTCTCAAATATCACTGGTAAGGAGACTGCTGGTTGCATGTATTTACTTTAAAAATGTGCTTTCTTTTTATGTTGAACAGCTGTTCAAATAATTTCTTTCACTCTTTAAGGTGCATCAGTGGATGGAGATAGCAGGGATAGACCTATAGTCTACACCCTTGCCATGCAGGATCCATCAGTGGCAGATGACTGTGAGAAGATGAGCAACATGGGAACATTTAATTCATCTCATCTTCACCACAGTGCCAACTCTCTCAACCTTAACATGGAGAAGGGAGGTGATGAGGAGGTAGCATTGGCAATGAGGGGAGGCACACCAGGAGGACTTCTTTCATTATCCCCGCATTCAGAAGGCCTTCCTTCTTTTGTCCATGCCCCAGCTCTGAGGAGGAGCAAGTCCCAGTCCAGACCTCCTCAGATGGTCAAGTTCTCAGAAGACACTGTGGACAATGGATATAATGATGGGTTTGATGTCAATATTAGGAAGCATCCTATGAGTGAGAAGCCACAGCGGAGGGCGTACTGCGCAGATGAGATGGGCCGAGAAAGAAGCCGCCCATCGAGCCACCATGGGCGCAGCAGGCAGCACCACCACCGGCAAGGCCGGCACCACAGGAGCCACAAAACCCGCTCAGACAACAACCTTCACATGGTGCCTTTGGAGAAAGCACAGAGGCTGTATGAACCCCAGCAGCAGGGTCTAGTAAGCCCATCTTGTGGTGCCATGCTTCTACAGCATCCCGCACACAGGCTGCCCTTGGCCTTCTCCCAAACCCGATCTGACTATATGCCTCAGAGCTCAGCTCAAGACCCACGGGTTGAGCATTTCATGGGTCTCTACAGAGATGAGGATGACAGTTGCTCCACATGCTCCTCCTCCTCATCAGACTCTGAGGAGGAAGGCTATTTCCTGGGCCAGCCAATTCCTCAGCCTCGAGCAGCTTCTCGCTACTATGCTGAAGACTACCCAACAAGGGTTACAGCCCTCTCTTCCCAGAGCCATGGCTCACAGACTGGTCGCAGAAAGAGCCACCGCTCCAAAAACTGTATCATCTCTTAACAGTTCAGAGTGTATTTACATTATAATCTGCACTACACTAAGCAATAAAGTCAGATTTTCTGATCATGTGGTTTTTGCGGATCAAATCTGAGTTTGGAAATGCAGTTTAAAACAACCCATGAGCACAGAGTATGTTTAACGCCCTAACTAAAGATGCATGACCAAAAGTCAAGATGTATATCATATTTTAGGCCCTAATCTACTGAAAGAAGAACTCAATTCAAATTGATAAGACAGCAAAAGGAAGGTGACATCTGTGTAACATTGTCAGAAAATCTTTATGTGCAAATTTGGCCTAGATACTTTGTCTTACTGAATTTTAGCACTAATATGATGCATGGATTAGCAAATCTGGTAGTTTCCTTAGACAGTGGAGAGAAATTATGCAGAGTAGCAACATTAAACTTCTTTTTTTCATTTCAGAATTTGCCGTTGTTCAGTCAAAAGTTTTGCAGCAATATCTTTGTGTGCATTAAAATGGAAACACCTTGCACACAGAGGTTGATAAAGTAGAAAATAGGAATGAACCAAATAATTATTTAATGCATAATAGTACAAAATGATAATGTATATACTAAGTTAAGATTTTAATACTGGTATTTTTATATCTGTGGTTTAAAGAATTGTTTCTTTTGAAGTGTATAAGAAATAGCAGATGTAATGGTAAACAAACATACCTCGCTAATATTTTGAGAAACAACAAAGAAGGTGCCACTTCATAAACTGTGTTCTTCGCCATGTGAAGTGCCATGTTACTCTGTACCAATGTCTATTATAACATACAGTATATTCCAGTGCTCACAATCGGTGTACAAAACATACAATGAATTGCAGTAATACCTGCATTTTCCATATTCAGCTAAACTGTTCACTACCCTTGCTCTGACATAACCAGCTAAATGCTTTGTGATGGACGCTTGTAATAAATATTTTTCTCCTCTCAAAGCTTCAGGTATGATTGTTATTTCTCAGATGTGTGACTTAATTTGCCTTCATTTACAACGACATGTTGTAACAGTCTGATTGTAGTTGTGTTTTACAGTAGGATGCATCAAATAATTTATGGACTTAATGTATTGTGGTATTCTTTTAAAACTTGGAAATTGTCTGAATTTATATCTATACTTCGTGATAAGAGTAAGGACTTGTTTTTATACAAACCCTGCTGAAAGCTGGAAATCATTTGCTAGCCTGCATTTGATTGCCTCATTGCTATACCATACTAAAATATATGTATTTCTAAGGGAGACATGCAATGAAGCCATAAAAAGATTCTTAAAATATCTTAGATTAAGTCTATGATGCCAATGGGATATGTACAGTATGTAACTTGTGTTAACAGATCATAATAAAACAAACCAGTTAACAGAAATCATGTTTACTACAACCTTCAGAGACTTCTCAGATTGTGCAACTGGCATTTCTAGACAGTACACATTTATACAAGAATGTAGAACTGTAAATTTAGCAGCACCAAGTCATACATCTGACTGCTACAAAATAATATTCGACATAGCTGAAAATAGTACAAAAGAAAACATCGTCTTGCCTTTTCTGGCTTTTCTTCTGGAAAAGCGTCATCATGCTGGAGAACTGACTATTCTCAACACGTTTTCATCAAAATAGGTTAAATAATGAAACGCATGTTAACCATTTCCACAATGATGGGAGACTGTTCGCTTTTTAAATAAGGAAAATTAGTTGTTTACCAACATTTGACAGAGGACAACTTTTTATCTTTTATTTATAATTAACATCTTTCAACAGTCAACTTGAAGGTATAATTGGTCTGTTCAAAAACTAACACTGTTCATTCCCACATACAATGCACCACTGCATCCTCTCCACGTTGAGTTCGTAGGTTCAATCCAGTAATCCAAAATGTATCCAAGATATCCATCATGTTCCGCAGTCAATCCTACCATGCACAGTCTTGCATACAGAAGATCACGCCAATGTGTCAGTAAGATGAGCTGTGATTGACTCCTGTCTTTGAAAGTTTATGACCCGTCAGGGCTGTAGATGGGGTGGTCGAGTCACAGACGGAGGGCTCTGGCTGCCGAACCGCCTCGTCCAGCTCGCTGATGAAGTGTTTGAGGTCCTCAAGGCAGCGTTCTCGGATCTCCCCGAGGTTCTCCCTGAGGGGAACCTGCAGTTGCTTCTCCAGGTTGGCGTCTTTAGCCACCAGCATCTTTACCACCATGCCAAATGTCTCACAGTCCTGACGGTACACCTGGAAGTGGACAGGCATATGAATAAATAAGGCATAGATGTTTGACATGCACAATTTAAAAAAGACCAACAACAGGAAAACCTTTTTTAAAGCACTCTCAGGAGACACATTGTATGGTATGTAAATATAGGACAGAAAAGTGTCAACAGGCAGAGGTCAAAACCGATGAGAGAAAAGATCTTAATTGAGGAGATGAAAAGCTGTTTCCTTCCTGCCCTACCTGGCGCCTGGGTGTAAATATTCCAGCGTCATTTAGCCTGAGCTGATCATTCTGGTGTTAATACACATCATGCAGTGTCAAAAGATAAACACTTCTCCTCTGGAGTTTAATAGAGGGCACTTTATATAGAACAGGATAGCCCAAGAAGCAAATAAAACTCCAAACTCCTTTAGTGGTGGCTCAGAGGCTTATAACAGGTGTTAGAGGGACAATGAGGAAGAGGTACTGTATCTTGTTCGGGAGCTACTTTTTCCACACCGAGCTTCAAATGTCTCAAAACAACAGAGGGAGGCCACTGCTGCCACATAAATTGGTTCGATTTGTAAAATACCAAGACAAGAGATTTGTTTCCAACTCATGATCCTTCACACGGGTTGACAATCAAATTCCAAAGGGAGAAAATATCAGTCACATAAGCTGACGGTAATATTTTTAAATGTCAGTTTCCTTTTTCCTAAAGCTCCAGGCGTGCTTGTGGGTGGGTGATTGATTAATCATTTAGTCTTTAAAGAGGTCAGAAAATAGAGAAAATGCCCATCACCAGCTTCAAGAGCCAAAAGGTGACCTCTTCAAATTTATTTTGTCAAACCAATGGTCCAGAAGTGTAAAAAAGGCAAAATACAAAACCCCCCCAAGAAAGTTGGAACCAGTGACATTTTGGCTTAAGAGAAAACTTACATTGAACTGTGGTTAATTTTATGTCGATTGACCAGTCAATTAATTGACTAATCACTGATCATAAAAAAACCCAATCAAAATATTATCTCTTTTAAAATGTATGAAAAAAGTATGACCCTAAAATTATCCAAGAGACTTAGAATATCATGGGGCTGCAACAACCTCACTTTCACTGTGGCCGAGGACCTTTGTTGGATCGCTCTCTCCCTCGTTTCCTGTAGTCCCTCCACTATCACTATCTAATAAAAGGCATAAAATGCTTAAAAAATAAAAAATAAAAATACACATCACATATGAGGGCCTTTTCTTATTGGACAGTATGATGGTCTGTTTCTCTACAAGAATGGCTACGTCCACAGTGACAAGACACTCACACCTCAATTTCTCTGTGGGACGCTGATATCTCCTGTCTCTGCTTGTCTCCATCTGTCCCCACAATATTTCAAGACACACTTCTTCGTCTAGTCATTCTCTATGCCTTGTTTGGTCTTACTCTCCATCTCTTTCATTCTCTGCGTAAGTAGAAGTGAATGAAATAACAGATACTGCGACTTATTATGTCGGACATCAAGCCTCCACTGTAAGAGTATAGCCTTTGTGCTGCAGGCGGACACAAGGGCATGTCCAATGACAAGGGTTGTGTGCGGATGTGTCTGTTTATACGTGTGCCTGCCTCTGAGCGCGTGTGTGTGGGTGTAAAATTAGGCCAGGCAAGGGTGAGTTTCAGTCATTCTCCGGATACCAACAATGGCTTCTGTGCTGCAGGGCGTTCAAATCCACTGGCTTATTTATAGCTTTGCGCAGTGTTCCTCGAACAGAGCGCACGGCTAGAGTAGAGGAGAGATCAGAAATAAAGATCTGCTGTCAAACAGAGTTAATGTAATTGCAAACAACAGAGGGCAACTTTCCAAAATGTGCATTAAACAAAAACATTTCCACTGTTGTCTAAAAAGCATAGTGTATTCTGCCAATAGTGAGTTGATCAGAAATTAAAAACGACAGCTCTTTGTGACAGAAATGTTTTCTGGAAATCACATGTTCCACAAAAACAGCCTGCAGCTTAAAACACAGACCAATCAGAACCCCTGATAGTACCAAACATGACACTTTACTGAAGACTATATCTGGTGAAGAAAGTTAGTAGGGCTTTTTATTTGCCTCCTTCTTGACCTACAGCAAACACTATGAGTATTATGTGGGCAGTGACCAGAGTTTTCAGTTCTCCCTCTTAAGGTGACCTGAATCAATTTACAGGAATTTTGTAGTGAACAGAAGGATACAAACAGTTTCAGGAAAGAGTGCTGATGTAAACATCCCGCCTCGCCTGGGCGTTTCTATAGCCTCATAAACGTGCGCGCGCACACACACACACACACACACACACACCGAACCTGTGGTAGCAACTTGCTCTACTGCGCAGAATTTAGTAACAATGGAATGTATCTTTTCATCAGTATCCTATAATCTCATTTGAAAGCTGACAACTGAAGACAGCAAATTTATTTATCTACTTATCAGAGGAAGTATCCAATCAACTGTGCTGACAACAACTTCTATGAACACAGGGAAAGTTGTTCCTATATAACAATGTGCTGACAATGTACTTCCTGTATTCGAAGCGCACTTCCCGAAATCCCTCCCTTCTTATCCAATCAGGAAGGAAAGGACCTGTTCTTGACTTTGGGGTGGGGTCTCTGCCTCTAACAACATCTTTAAACTTTATTTTTCTACATCCAGTTAAAACAGGATTCGGAGTGAGTGTGTGAGCCAGGCTAAAGAAAAGAACAATAATGAAAGAGTCTGTGGCTTCAGTCCAGTTCTGCCATCTTTGTACATTAAAAAATAATAATAATAACTCAATGAGGCTGGAACTGTCTGGCTGTCTGTCTTGTAGCCAAATATATTTAGGTTCTTCAACAAATGAAATAAAACTCCTTTTGTATCACAGCCTGGACTGTGAGGAGTACAACATAATACCATTTACTGCCTGTCATGCCTTGTCACTCACTATAACCAGTAAGTCTGTAAGGCTGCCAAAGTCAACTGCGACAATGAGAACGGGTTCAGGTTGAATTTCAGCAGACCAATTTCACTTAGCTACACAAACACACACCGTGGCGCTGGTATAACGCTGCCCAGCACGCTGCCTGGCCAATGATGGAAAGTTCAGCCCGTAATCTGTGAAAAGTGTTTAGACTGTTAGGGAGCTTTTGAGGACCTACTGGACTGGACTGTGTTTGCGTCCGTGTTTATAGAATAGATGGCTGGACAAGATTGGATGTAGAAAGCCAAAACATCGGGCGGACACTTGTCAAGTGGTGCCCGCTGCGACAGAAACACTACTGCGACTTCACAGAGCATGTGAAAGTGACTTTGTTGTTTCAGACTGAAATAGAAAGTCAACCCTGTTTAACTGCGTGTTCTGGGCATGGTGGGAAATTAATGACAACCATCAGACAAGTGCTTATACATTTTCCAGTTACTAGCATCATGTGAAAGAAATCCTCTCAGGTTTTGATTGATGTTTACCAACAAACAACTAGACAGACTTCAGATGGTTCTTTCTATTTCCATACTTCTCTCCTTTTTTCCCCTGAACTTGTACAGAGAATAAAGAAAGACGCTGGGCCGAATTTTAGATTTGATGATTAAACATCTATTTCTGACCTGGTTGTGTCGGACAGAAACGGTGACGGAACTTAACAATCGTGACTAATCAAACCAGCCTTCATGACAGACGGAGTGAGGACTGCCAAGTCACAAACAACCTTAATGTGACTTATCTAAATATCGCAAAAGCCAAAGAAAGGGACAAGAGGGGGAAAAAAGCTGGAATTGTCAGTAAAAACATATCATTATCCTACAATAAGTAATCCTGGAGAGAAAACCTGAAACTTCATATGCCTAGAATACACCGTTTTTCATTTTCAATTACTTTTCCAGACCTTAATTTCATGACTACATTGAAGATTAAAGCAGGGGAGCATGCATTATGCTGACAATGGAATGATGACATAGTTGATAAGACCATATTAAAATACCTAAAGGTTACTCTTGACATGGATCTTGGTAATCATTTTCCAAAATATGTATGAAATGATAACAGTCAAATGCCTCATTATACCTGATAATAAGAAATAAAGCTCACACAATAGAGCTCAAATGAATGCGAGGAGACTCAGACGGGGGGAGAAAGACACAGGCTATAAAACAGGCTTGAAGCTGCAGCGTCAGCAACAGTGTTATAACAGCATATAGGCTTCGTGGCGCAACTATATGTGAGAGCGCAGTGTATGCTCCAGGGCAGAGCTGGCTTAGGCTTTTAATGGTCCCAGTAAAGCAGCAGTAGTGCTCACTGGTGCAGGAATGGCCCTCATTAGATAACTGAGCGGACCTGGAACCTCGAGCCTGGGGTGGTTTTAGCGGTCCGGTTTTAGTGGTCCGCCTCCCAATTTATTGTACACACAAACCAATACCAGGTCTAAGCTGTACTTGTGCTTCTACTTTCTTTTATATGTTCCTGTACCATTTACATTATCCTCGTGTTTCCAACCCCCCACCCCCCACCCCGAGTGCGAGCCTGTGTGTGTGTGTGTGTGCACTTGTAAAGATGAGTCAAACACTGACGGAGGGTTATGATATTTGAGCCATGTGGGATATTAAACTGGTGCAGGGTGTAATGAGCATTTGCTGTAGTCACACCAGTCAGGATGGGAGATGAAGAGCCACCAGGAAAATGGCGATCCATCTGGCACCCAGCTACTTTAATTACCCATCTCTTAAATACTATAAAAATCTAAAAGAGAAATCTGGATGGCAACAGTGAAAGTGGCTGGTGAATTTTAGGATATACCCACCACTGTGACTGGTAGACAGAAAGGTTCATTTCCTGCCTTGTTAGGAACATAGTATATGGCTGTTCCAGTAATGCCTATCCAGTAAAATAATTCATGTGTGAGTCAGAGAAGTCAAGGCCACCATATGTATGGGATCGTTTGCCAAGGCATGCGCCAAGTTGACATTTATAGAAAAGTCTTACAAATTACCAACTTGTAATGAGAAGCTTGTAAATGCAGAGATTTTCCAAAAGGGGCAACTGTGAGTTACTTACACAAAATGTTCATTCAAATATATTTTCTTTTATAAATGCTACATGAACACAAATTAAAGAATTCTATAGAGTAGTTCGAACTCCATCCAGTTAAAAACTGGATGTAAATTTAAGATGTCAAGAGTTGGGATGAGTTGGACAGGTACCTTCTCTATCTCCTGAGCTTTGGCTGCGATGGCCAGGGCACGTCGCTCTTGAAAGTTGTCTATAGACGACTTCTGGCACTCCTCCACAGCTGGAGGCACCAGTGGCTCCTCCTTTTCTACTTCTGGAGGATGGTTCTCCTCCTAAAAGTTAAGGAGAGAAAGGGGGTATGTTACCATTTAGAAAACTCAGAAAAGTGAACAAGATGGATCAAGCAACTCTTTTACCATCACAGCATGAGAGAAATTAAAAATGTTTCAAACCAAGAAATGTATGGCAGATAACCACAAAAGTAACATTTATAAAAACATTAACATTTTAAAATGTGTACTACTAAGCTGACACAATGCCAGCAAATACAGACACAGAGAATGGTGAAAGAATGTAAAAGGTCGTAGGTCAGCAAAGTATAGCTCAATCGCAGATATTCAGCACAATACTATGACCTGATCTGCTGACGGGTCAACTTTACAGGAAATTAGGTCATGAGGCGTACAAATGGATGAAGCTTTGATATACAGTAGCTTCTACAGCTGAAAAGCCAGAGTTTACTCTTGTGAGTGTTGTGGACTTCTACTTGCATTGACAACTAGTCAAATAATTAGGGATTTATAGGAACTAAAGCACTAAGATAGGAGATAGGACTAAGAAGCTCTCTATCATGACATATTCATTACAAGATATATCGATATTCAAATTGTACACATCACGACTACAACTTGGCATAGTATTAAACTTATTTTTCCATGTAAATTGGAGAAATTGACATTTCAGCTGTTTTCTTCAGAATAGGCAATCTGGCCAGACAAGCCATGATGAGCCATCTAATGGGTAGACTGGAAACCCTAGTACCTATAAGTATTACTGTGAAAGCCAAAAGAAAGAGCAAAGGGGAGAAATAGGCCAACTTGGATCACCGCTCAACGTCTTTTGCTCATTTCCTGATACTATTAGAATTCGAAGGCCAGGGAGAAGAACTGCCCAGCCATGACTAAAGTCCACTCATACATTAAGGGAAAGAGGCCAGGAACTAAGTCATATTAAATCTCTAGATGTCCGAGGAAAGAAATTACAGGAGATGGTACATCACAAAACCTAGTGTGGTCTAAAATAAAAAGCACAACTCATAAAGCATCATCCAATTATTCTTTCTTCCAGTTCAGTCCCTGAAGCTATGCTTGGGTGAAGTCCAGTGTCTACGCTTGTGCACATATGAAAGATCGAGTTGAGTCAGTCTTCAGCCTCCTTTGCCTCAATGAAAAAAAATATCCCTGTCGGTGTCTCTCACTTCAACTCGCTGGGCACAGCCCAACCTGGAAGGGATGTTACACTATCAATACAAAGCTTGACAGATACATTTTGTGCAAACTGGACTAAAATAAAATGTCATCAGTCGGGAGGTCTGGGAAATCTCTTTTCAATGCAATACTAAAAATGAATTTTTAAAAAAAGGTTCCTTTTTCCTCTTATTTTTTTCCTGGGAAAAAAAAGCCTGCCTTGTCTAGTGAACCATGAACTGACCTTTAAAATTAGGACTGCTGTAGATTCCTAATTATAAATGCATTGGTGGAGTATTTTACTTACTCTAACTGATAACCTGCCAAACACAAGTTAAAGGCTCATTGTCTGGCAAGGATGTTCAAACAACATACTGTACACTGAGAAATCCATAGTAGAGGAGAAACGGCACCAATGTCTTGAAGCGACAACAAATTAGTATTTATGAGCTGGCTGGCTCTCTTTCCATCATCATATGCCTATGCCTTCATTAAATCAAAACGGCAACTTTATCCCCATTAGCTACCCTTTCTAAATGTACTTTGGTATAAGGAAATCACAAAATAAAGTAGAACAGACCAAAACATGGGAACAGATAAGCATTTAGTACCAGAAATCGATTATATCCATTTAGAACATTGTCGACTGGTAACTTTTGGTCATAAACCAAAGTATTGAACAAAGTGAAATTTTGACATGATGATGGCTCTAGAGGAAAAATAAAAGGGATCACCAAAGTTACTACAGTTCATCTTGTGAGAAACATGAATGTCTGTACCAAATTTATTGGCAATTATCCAAAAGTAGACTGAACCACTAATGTTAACCTCATTGTGGCGTTAGATGAAACGCCAGGGGATCATCACAATCATTAGGATGCACTGTCTTGTTTCCAAATTTCATTTTGTCCAAAGCTTAATGACATTCCCATCACCAGCTGCATTTTCAGTTTAGTGCTAATCAGCAAAAGTTAGCATGGTAACATGCTACACTAAAATGCCTCACCACTAGCAAGGCTCTTTAGGTCCCCTCAGTGGTCTCTTCTGACTGGCTCCAGAAAGCCTGCATGTGTGTTTGTTGAATCCACACAGCAGGCAGAGGCTGGGGCCATAAGTGCAAGCTTTACTGGGGGCACAGGCCTTTCATCTTGGCCAAGGTTATGGGTCTGTGCCCCCAGAACAGAAACCAACAATGCACCACAGGCTAGATCAAACACAGCAAAAAGCAGCAGTGTGTATGCGTGTCTATGGAGGGGTGGGGCACTTAGTTAAACTTTCATCACAGCAGTTGATTGGGTGGTGGTGGGTGGTTCCTGAAAAAATGTACATGAAAGGAGGAGAGGGAAAAAAACGTATTTCTATGTTGTATCTTGTAATTTCTGACATATAAAACAAGTGCAGGGGTTTACAAAGACACCCACAATGCCCACTATGACAGCCAAAAAGACAATCTAGCAAAAATATAACAAAAATGGCTACATATAAATTACCTCCAGCATGTTCTGAAAAAGATCTAAGGGATGCAAATGAGATAAATAATAAAGACTGCACGGGGTTTCCCCCCTTCTGGTTTGTATATCCCTGCCTCTGCTTAAAAACAATGTATATTGTATACATTTTTTACCAAACTTCAACAGCTAAATGTGCAACATGCAACAGGAAATAATTGAGTCTATAATTAAATAATATAACTACTAACTTTCAAATTAGTTCAGTAGAAGTTAATAGATTATTTTTAATGAATAAGAGACAGCAGCAAAGGTCACTGCCTGTTTGAGACCTGGTGGCCTAACTGTTAAAGAAACAGTTATTCTTCAGGAAACTGATCAACCAGCCAGACCAGTCTCTGTCCGTTGATAAACTATAGGAAAAAGTTTGACATTTCGACTCTGGCAGCGGGCGGGTGTGTGCGTGAGACGAGAATCACCACAACAGTTTCACGGGATCGGGCCAGTTACACAGAAGCCGTTGCCATAGTTACTTCGCGGAGCGCTTGTTTGCCTGTCTGTTGATGAGGAGCGCAGAGCCAAAAAAAAAAAAATAATGTGCCAAATCCTTTAACATAAGGACTTAAAAAGCAACCAATTATACAGCAAAGTGTATATAGGCTATGTGAGTGATCAATCGACAACAACGTCAAAGTAAACATTAGATGCCCTATAACAATCAAAACATACCCAATTTATCCGATCCTTATTGCCAACTCAGTGTTGGGCAGGTTACTCAGAAATAATAGGCTAGCATATACTCCTTAAAGTAATATTAGGTACTCTACCCTACTACTGGGTGACACAACGCCACTCTCTCCCGACGAGTCCAAGCATCACTGGCAGTAGCGGCCGGAGTTTCTTTCTGAGTTTCACGTTGCTGTGCTGCATTAGCTAATGATTTAATTAAGTTTAGATGTAGAATTGTTTGCAGTTGAAAGCTTTTTGCCTGTCGCACAAAGTTTACAACAGACGACAATGTTCTTTGCATCTTAGACTGTGACACCGTAATGGCAATAACATTACTTACAGCTGTCGAAAATACCTCTCCTCCCTGTTCTCCAGTCTTCCTTTAGCTTTTTGGCTAAACTTTACACACATCAGCCTGTAGTGATGCAAGAGATCACAAACTCACTGGAGAGGTCCACCAAGATGGTGCCTCAGACTGCTGCCTCTGGATTACGCTCTGTAGTGCTATTGCTTATAAACGGCCGTCCCTCTCTGGTAACATTTACTAAAGAAGAGCTGTAACGTTTTTATACAGTTTGCTTTGGACAATTTGACTGATTTGGCGCAGGGAGTAGCACATTTATGATACACAACGGCCGTGTTCACATTCCCGATGTGCCGTGACTTTACAATCATAAACTATGCATCGCTCATGGCGACGTTCCCTGGTGGAGAAAGTGTTGCTGCCGAGTGCGCAAGATTACACAACACCGGACAATTTCATACTTTCTAAAGAAGAGAAAACGGTTCTCGGTTCTCGCTAATGCGCCCCAAACTCTCTTTAAAAAAAAAAAAAAAAATCTGAGTTTTGTGAGTTGTTGAGTTAGGGGAAAATATATAAACGTTGTGAAATGCTGTCTACTATAAAATCGTTAATTAATAATTAATATAATAATTATTGACCTCCCTGTAAATTCGGCAAATGTAATGCATGACGTTATTCCTTTCTTTGTATATGGTGTCAGTTTGTCCCGGTGTCTTGCAGTACTGGTGTGTAAACTGCTCAGTCACTAAATAGCAGATCAGCTGCTGAGATCAGGACTTGATTTCAGAGGAACTTTCTGTTGCTGCAGCAGAAACGTTCATTAAAAGATGCATTTTTGAAAACAGTATTTATTTTATTGTTGTGACTGTTAATTAGCACATGCCTAAAAAACCTCAAGTTTAATTTAAAAGCTGAGTTAAATAAGGCGCATTGTGTAATTTTGCAATTCATAATCCGAATAGTCGATTATTTGTTTCAATAATCAATAGATTAATCAACTATCAAAATAGTCTTTAGTGCAGCCCTAGTGCAGAACAGCTGGCTCCCATCTTCACACAGATCTTCAACAGATCACTGGAGCTGCGTGAAGTTCCCTCCTGCTTCAAACGCTCCACAATCATCCCGGTCCCCTAAAAACCCTCCATCTCTAGAGGTCAATCAACTATCTCTCTGGTGCGGTCAGAACAACCTGGAGCTTTACACGCTCAAAATTGTGGAGATAATCGTAGACTTCAGGAAGAGCCCCCCCGACTCTGCCCCCCATCACCATACTCAACACCCCCCGTGTCTGCTGTGGAATCCACTATATCCCAGGACCTAAAGTGGGAGCCCAACATGGACACCATCATCAAGAAGGCCCAGCAAAGGATGTACTTCCTGCGCCAGCTCAGGAAGCTCAACCTGCCTAAGGTGCTGCTGATCCACTTTTACACAGCCATCATCCAGTCTGTCCTCTGCACGTCCATCATCTGGTTTGGATCTGCCACCAAAAAGAACAGGAGCAGACTACAACGGACAGTCAGGACTGCAGAAAAGATCATCTGTGCCAACTCCATTCAGGACCTATTCCAACTTCTCCCCTCTGGTAGGCGCTACAGAGCACTGTACGCCAAAACCAACAGACACAAGAACAGTTTCTTCCAACAAGCCATCACTCTGATGAACAGCTGATTTCTGACTCAGTGTCAGGAACAATTCCTGTGCAATAACCCAGTAACTCTGACTCTAATCAGCCACCTGTTTACTGGTTACCACTTATTATTTATTCATAATTTTCATACTGCTCATATTGTTATATTTTCATATTGTACATACTGTATAACAAATTCACCTACCTCAACTAAATAACATCTGCACATAATACTTTATTCCAGCATCCTTTGCACTGTGCTCCATCACACTGTGTACACGTATGCATGTATGTGTACCTGAATATGACAAGCAGCCCAGTGTCCCTGTTACACCAGTGAACATGCCCGAAGTCACAGCTACGGGGTTTTACTAAGTAACACTCTTAGTAACACTCTTGACGGCTTTTAAATAAGTCATTCTTTGCTTACCCACCCACTGAGCTTCAGAGTTAAACACAGCATGCATCTGTTTTTCTGTCTTTTCACTGCAACTCTGCATCGCGATGTAATGTAGCATATTTATAACTTTATAAATAAAACAGTGGGGGTCATCTTCATGAATAAAAAAAATCCCCCCCTCTGCTGCTTTTTTCACAAATCACACGCTGTACAGTTTTTTAGGCTTTTTTATTTTAGGCTGTTTGCCTAAAATAAAATAGTCACTGACACAGGAGAATTAGATAGATTTAAAAATGTGATTTAACAGGTAGGTTAACCAAATCACATGCATTCCACTAGAGTTACTTTTATATTGCGTTAATGTCAACAAGTCATAAGTACGATCGAGAAAGCTTCTATATTTTAAAGTGACAAATTAGATATATTGAAGTATGGAAGTAAATGAAAACAAAGGAAACATGGATGCCTCACATCAGCCAAAGTCTGTTGTTCAATGTAATTAAACGGAAAGCTTGCAAGTCTTTGACATGGGAATCCTTCCCCATCTCTGCCATGGTTACCAAGACGTGCTGGCTTCTGATAGTTCAAAAAGGCTTTTCCTGTGACCCCTCTGTTACATATCAATTTCACACAAGCACATGACCACTGACCTGCTTAATCTGCCAGACACTCACAGCTACCAAACACAGTCAGTCATTCTCTTAAACAAAAAAAGGAAACGATTGTTCATTGTAAAAGGTCTAAACACATCCCAATGAGTTCCACGGGGACTTCTTCTGGCTTTGCGGCTAAGATCCTTTGATAAAGCTATGACTTGGGCTACTGAGTTAGCCTCTTCACTTCTGGGTGGCCTCAGCTAGACGCATTGCGCCTAATCACATCTGATTCTATTTACACTCCTCTGTATAGTTTGGAGATGGATGATATCAGCAAAGCAAGCTATTATTTTCCATACAGGCAGGAGATTCAGTACCTACTTAAAAAAATTTTTTTTTTTTAAAACAAAAGCACTTTAAGGAGCTACGTCTCGTACTTTCATTGACATTTGAGACCTTCTCCCTAAACCATTACAAGTTCTAGTGACTGAAGTCTGCTTACAACACAGGTAAACAAAGCACATGCCTGATGGCTTTTATGCTCTGCGTGAGGGCCACTTTAAAACCCATTACTTCAATGGGACTAAACACTTATTAGAGGGATGGAATTTAAGAAGTTCCAGATGCATCCTGCTGTACAGTGACAACAGCGGAGTCCATGAGAGAGGTTCGGTACTTATCATCATCATCAAGATTTTCATTTACTGTTTCCGTGTACTTGAGCTCACCTTGTTTGAGGTTGCACTGTGTGGGGAGCCTTCTCTTGACAGGCCAGGAATTTTGTCTGGAGAAATAAAGGGACAAAAAAGGTTTGACAGTGAGACTTTAGTGAGGGGCAAAATACTATGATTTGGAATAAGAAAATGATAAACTACAGAAGCAAAAACAGCAGGAAGCAGAAATTCAATGTTAAAGGGACAATTAGTACATCTAGAAAGTTGGTTAAGTATGTGCTTATGGTAATCAGGACCCTGTAAAAAGGTGGTGATGTGTGGTTCCAGGATCCAGAGAGGTACCTAGGCTAGAACATTTGGAACAATCAAGAAACAAATGGTTCACAACCGCGCTCCAAATGCCAGTGGGTGGATTTGCTGTAACTTACATTTCTATCTCGTAGAGATTTCCATTAATAGATCAGACACCATTTGTTCGTCTACCAACGTTCTTCAAGCATACAAGGCTTTGTAACCGACCAACCAAGTCTACCATAAATACGAACTCTGAGGACCTCGCTATGGAACAAAAACACACCAAAGTGGAAGCTTTGGCTTCAGGAATATCCATCAGACATCCTATACCCTTTCCCTCTTCTTCCACACACGACCTGGTGGCATTTTTATGAGCCCTGACAAAGTGGCAGACAGAGCAGGGAGGAAGGCTAGCTGCTGGACACATTAGAAACTCTCTCCGTCTCTCTCAGGTTACCCAGACTGGTAATGGGTTAAGTTTAATGATTTTAACCTTCATATCTTTCCGAAACAAATCCTCTGCATGTCATCTCATTTTGCTTTCATTAATTTATACTGAAAAACAATAATCTGAAAGAAATGGTACCAAGAATGTACCATGTAAAATATGATCTAGGAGTAGTGTTTAAATTGTCTATTTCCTCAGCAAACGTGATTTACAAGTAGAAATCCACTGCAACAGCCTTTGATACAACTTTTCTATCTATACTGAACTGTACTTACCAGTCATCTTGCTCTGAGAATAAGTCTCTTCATACCCTGTAGGGAGACCAAACCGTAAGGTCACTGGCTGTGTACATAATAGCTAGGCCTTCTATCGCACAGCAATCTAGCAAGCAAACGCACTGCCCTGACCCTTCGCTAAAAATATAATTAATGATGGTATGTTCTGCTTTCATCATGCATTTCAATAGTTTTGAACACATAACAAACGTAGCAAACATGACCACTTTTAATTATTTATAAAACAAATAAAAAAGGTCCAATGAGCTTTTTTTCATGAGTAAAAAGAACCAATCAAAATGGAAATTATATGTAGAGACAACCAGCACTGAAGATGGAAGCAGGCCTAAATAACAATGTACTACTTGTGGAAATAGGGGGTTGAGATCTACAAACAAGATGCAGTAAAGAAGGAGATACTTTAGCACTTTTTTTACAGTCCACTTGATTCATGGTTTACTGTTACCTTGCTGGGAAATTAATTTTGTAAACCCATACAGTACAAAATACATACAAACATTTAATGTAAATCTGGCAATCAGGCATTAAAATTGCTAATTAGCAATTAGCTGTCTGTCCAAATGCCTGCATCTCAGTACATCACAATGCAGCTTTAATAAAGACTATGAAAGCCCCTGTTTTTGTAGCTTTCTTAATTGGTGGGGACATTAACTTAAATTTTCACGTTGTTTTTACAGATCAGTGTAGGAACCATGGAAAGTGCTAACGTACCTCCACAACAGGTAGTAGAAATGGTTTATATAAAGACACTCATTACAGCAAAGTCAACACTAGGTACTAGCTTAAAAAACAAAACTCGTGACCTGGGTGAAAGAATTTCAGAGTCAAATAGGCGCCTGAGTTTACTGTGTTTTGAATTGTTTAGGGTAAATTATTTTGACTGTTCCTAAAATTGCATTCTATAGGTCATATTCTATATTTTTACTGATATTTAGAAGTTTAACTTGATTTTGGTTAAACATCTACAGGCCTTTAATTCATTCTGTCCTCCATCATTGTATCCTTCTCAAGACTTATTGGCAGTCATCTTTGGAGTATAGGAAGTCACAACGTTTCCTTCTAACATTTATTCTAACATGACCAGGAATGGATGCAATGTTGTGTGAGGAACAAAAAAATCAGCTTATCGTCACCCAAGTCCAAGCTTTTTTCACATCACTAAATGTACAGACCCAAAGTGTCATGTCCACTCTGTTGAGGAAAGAGCGCCCCCCAGTGGTGCTCAGAAACACCTGCGTGGCCCTCTGGACCATCCACACCTGAAAGCCAGTCAGCGAGATTATCAGTCAGGAATAAGACAGTAAAAAACATGAAGAATGACAAAAATTAATGCACATTTTGGGGGTACCAGTTATCAGCCTATTCCTAGTATTAAATTCCCCTTGTGCCAGGATAGACAAAATGCAGTTTTAAAAAGAACGCCACACTCCATCAGGGGAGGACTAAGTTCTACATACTCTTGCCTTGTTGGGAGGGAAATGGCAGGTTCTTGGCTCTGTCTGGTGAGTAGCCTCTGCTGCTGACACTGGAGCCGGAGCGACTGTGGGGGGAGCGGGCAACCTCACGGCGCACAGGGGATCGGTCTCTGAGTGGAGGGAACGGGGCTGCCTTTCTTCTGTAGTGGTCTCTGTCCTCCCTGGAAAACAAAGGTGAATGTGTGGGCTGTCAAAATTTGACTAGTCCAAAGTTAGCTCCTCTTTCTCATCTGGCAAAACTAACTTACTAGTTACAAACCAATTTCTGCCACAACTGTTTCATAGAATCTAAAACACAAGTACTTCTTTCTTTCTTTCCTTCGTCTGTGCTAATACAGCACAATGCTGCCATCTAGCATTGTGAGGGTCATTGTGCAGAACTAAACACACAAGTGTGAATACCGTGTATAAAATTCTATATTGTGACTCAAACATAATTAGAATTTAAGATATGAGTGTGAGAAAGGGATGACAGAAAAACAAGAAGAGCCACAAACAAGAGAAAACAATAAACAGGGAGGATTAAAAAGATGGAGAATGTAAAAGAATCATGAGGTTAAATATATGCAGGATTTCATATAGACTAAATCTCCTCTTTTTGACTGCAGCACATACACTTGGGCAATGATGGCACATGAATGCCCTATGCTGTGAGTAAGCATGCATTCACTCGTACCCTCTGTCCAGGTTGAGGATGGCTTGCACTAGTGTGTCTTCCCCGCTCTCTGGGAGTGATCGGGGCGCTGGGTAGATGCCCTGGTTTCGTACACTATGAGTAGGTGGCGCACGGGTGCTAAAGGAATAAAAATACACAAATATGTGGTCAGTAGCAGATACATACTGTACACAAACATACTGTAAACATGGCAACAAGCATCATTAGGTCAATTTGTATTTAACTTTAGCGGTCGTCTTGTGTGCATATGTTCACTCGCACAGACTTCACTCGGTAAAAAAACTTGGTAAAGCAACAGTAGACACTAGAGTGCAGATGTCTGTAAGCCACCGATGGACGATCGTCTATCGGCCCAAACCTACGCTGTATAAATTTTTGATAATGTGTGCTGATGGTCACATGGTAATGTGTCAACTGTGTGATATACAGCTTCACTTTATTCTTCCCAATATGAAAACCTTAAAATGGAAAAAATAAAAAACTTGCATATGCATTGTGCAAAAATGTTTTGTTCATTTGTTTACAGACCTCTTACCACTCCCTGTATCCGCAGTACCACCCAGTATCTCTAGACTGCTTTCTCCACACCACCTCCCACCATTCAACAGGCCAGAGCTGACCTCTGTGCCCTTTCACAACTCGAAATGTTTGTTTTCACGTCTGCCTGCTAAGTGCTGAATCTAGTTGGTATATCTGACTTTCTTTCTTGATTATTGCAACTGAAGATTGTAAAGCTGTCTTCATTTCTGCAACCCGAACCTGTAAATACAGCTAAGAGCTGCAGGTAGACTAAAGAGTCAAGTGTGGGGCCAGGTGAGCACTGAGACCACAAGAAATGTGACTCGGCCGAGAGAGGCAAATATAGGTTAGAGCAGACCGTGATTTATGATTGCTGCCATGTAAGCAAACCTTTAAAAAACATCTACTGAAAACGGAGGCCTACTTGTGCAGTAACCACCCCTTGCCCTATCCAGAGAAATTAAACACAGAGGACTTGTTCACAACATTAGTGCATAGAAAGACAGACTGCTCCCTGCCATCCATAATGATAGCATCCAATATTCTGAGTGATATCTGAAGTACAAATTAATAAATAAGGTTAGATTTTTCCTGTAAGACAAATGAAAAGATTTTACCCAAACTCCAAAGGCCGTCCTGTGTGTGGGTCTTCCCTGGGTCCTCTGTAAGGATAGTCCTCCTATACAATAAAGATAAAAAAGATAAATTCCATGAAAGGGACCTTTTGTGGCACTTTTTGTTCATGTAATTATATTATTTCCTAAAATACAACACGTTTTGGAACGTAGTTATAAATAATCTGTCTGAAACTAAAAACAATAACTGGCACTGGCAATGTAGCACTCTTGAAGCTTTAACTATAGCACCTTCTGCTGGTCAATGACAAGTGTGCATATTAAACCAACAACAGTAACATGATATGCAGTTGCAATATGCCTGCAGCCATGGAAAACGGTACATGTGTACAGAGATCTTTTTCACTTGCCTTTATAGCTTCTGAATATTTTCAAATGTTTAAGACTCTTGGTGTAAATTGATGTATTTAGTAAGTAGTAGTGCTGTTGTAAATTATGAGTGACAGGGACATGACAAAAATTATGTTCATGATGTAGCAATCAATTGTCATTGTGACTAAACTGTTGTTTTGTAAAGTGCCAGCTGCTAATAATCCAGAATTTTGAAACTTTTTGGCCCATATTTTGCTATAATTCAGTGTTTTGTTTGCAACTATCCCTTTCATTTTATTCTTATTTTGTTTCCTCAAACAAGCAACCTGATTTTATTTTTTGTGACTTTTTCTTTTGAGACAGACATTCGAAGTTCCCAATATAGTTTTGTTTATTCTCTGCAACACAAAAGTTTACTCTACACATTCTTCAAATGTAATATGTTCATAAGTATACAATAAGGTACATAACAATATTAATTGCATGACATTAATGCTCTCACCCTCCTTGAAGGTGGAACAGCTCTGCGTTCAGCAGGGAAATGAAGGCTGTCACTATGGTAGCCCCTCTGGTCTTCATGGTAACTTCGTGGGCCTCCTCCATTTGGGAAAAAGCGTGGACCTCCTTCGTACTCATACCCACTGCGACCGTAGTCGTCCTCTGGCCTGCCAAAGGGGCCCCTCCTCTCCACTGCTCCAGCTGCCCGTGGATACGGACCCTGCCAGAATGATTAAGTTTTAAGTTTTGCATGTTCGGTGAATTTTATTTTTTTAATGTAAGCTTAAATAACCCATGATTTATGGTAAAATGCTGACTAAATACATTCCCTCATGTAGAATTAAAGTAAATTTTTCACAAGGAGCATACTGCTATTCAATTAAAAGAATGATTCTAGTGGTTTGGCATGTTTTAGAAGAAAAAAAAAAACTCTTCTCACTTGTGTTGGAATATGCATATTTCTGAATGTGATACTAAAAAGTGATAAGGAGTACACACTCACCGCGGGTCTCTCCCCTAAAAATCGGTCATCGTATGCCTCTCGTATAGTCCTGTCTCTCCTGTAAGTCACTGCAAAAGGCAAAGAGTGAAATATTCTGTTATCACCGAACATGTAATGACACAAGGGTGGTTCCACAAAATAAATAAAAAACAGTTTCTGTATTCATCAACTGCTTTGGGCAGCAATATTCCAGTGTAACACATTATCACTAGATATGCAAAAACATACAGTACTATAACAACATCATAGTCAATATTTAATTTGATGACATCCATTGACCTGGAACATTTTGTGCTTGTCTGTCTGCTCACGTGAAAGCATTTTGGTTTTGGCATCAGTCAGGATCTGCAAAAATACTTCAAGTACCTATTCTACACATAATATATATATGATCTTGATTTTAAGCTCAATTTAGCCAGTAGTGGCATTTCTCTCGTTTTGAGTTAAATAATGTACTGTAAAGAAAAGTATTACTTACTTCTGGACTCAATGACTTCTGTGGATCGGGTGATGTAAGGAAGATAAGATCTTCAACACAATCTGCAACAAGTGTTTTAAAAATGTATTAGACTATTAGACTATACACTTGGATAAAATTTTCAAGCAAATCTTTTGGAAAGAGTGTTTATATTATGCCCATAAATGAACATGTAGAAATGTATCTGTATCTAACTGTATGAAAAATAAAGCCCGTTCTATTTTGCCCCCAAGCGCAACAACGTATCAAACAACATAAGATACTAGGGAGCACTGTTTGAACAAAACGTGTGATCCAGCAGCCGGCGGAGCTACTGCTGAATGTCGGTTTGACCCAACACCATGTTCCACATAACACCAGCTTGATAGCATCCAACCGACAACTACTCGACCGACACGTTACAAAAAGCATTACATTTTCTGTGACGGTGAATTAACTACTCACTATTGTAGTTAGGTACATGTAGAACGGACAGCTAGCAAAGCTAATTAGCTCACATCTTGCTGCAAAGACCCGCACATTTAATTTAACCTGAGAGCAAGTTAACTAATCGATACTGACACACAAATGACAAATAAATGTTTGCGGCGAAATATGCCATTTTATAGATAAACGGTGTTAAATAACCCACAGCAAAGATCATTTATTTCACGCAAATTAGGGAAACAATCTCACCTTCCTCTATCGTTTAGTTAGCCTAGCCTTTCTCTTAGCTAGCTACATGGACAACTGTAGTTTTATTGGACGAGGGGTAAGCACACGTCATCAAGTTGCGACGTCCAGACATGGCGTTCGTTTCTGTTTGCTAAATATTAGCTACATGTAAATACACTAAATTCTGAAATTTTAAACACATTTAGATATTGTTCTATCATCGGAGGCTGTGTTGGTAATTCATTTGGGTAATGTACTCAGGTTCTTTAAGTACTGTTACAATGTTTAACCAATGTATGCTGCATTAATTAGCTACATTGGTGGACTTACCAAGCTAGCTATGTAGCTCGTTGTGCATTAGACATTTTTATGATCATTTGGCTATTTTGTCTTACAGTGTGTCACATTTGTGCAGTATGAGCGGGGGATTGGCACCAAGCAAAAGCACTGTGTATGTGTCGAACCTACCATTCTCCCTGACCAACAATGACCTACACAAGGTAAGTTAGTCTTTACAATTGTTGACAACTGTTTCTTGGTGTTATGAAATAATGTTAACCATGCTTTTGTTTTGACAAAATTCAACTATGGTCCTTGAGTCCAAGCAACTTCCCTACTGAAACAGATCACTTTGTCTCATTTCAGCTATTCACCAAATATGGAAAAGTTGTAAAGTAAGTAATGAAAGTAATTTATTTTTGTATTACTTATATGTTACAGCAATGTGTAAACCAAACAATGTAGTCAAGGAATACATAACCCACAACAGTCAGTTAAGGCTCTAAATGCTTGCCTGTAGTAATGCAATGGTTCAAAAATAGGTATTTATAACTGTCATGCATATTTCAGGGTTACAATCGTTAAGGATAAAGAGACTCGCCAGAGTAAAGGAGTGGCGTTTGTTCTCTTCCTGGACAGAGAGTCAGCTCATAACTGTGCAAGAGCAGTGAACAACAAACAGGTGAGTCTATTTCACATTAAGGCCATTAGTTTTTACATACTATATGTCAGTGCGTATAAGCTGCAGTCTCAAGGTCAGTGATTTTTCTTTGATGCATATTCAGTTGTCAGTTTTTTTTTTGTCTCCCAGTTGTTTGGCAGAACAGTGAAAGCGAGCATTGCCATAGACAATGGGCGAGCAACTGAGTTTATAAGGAGACGGAATTACACAGACAAGACTAAATGTTACGAATGTGGGGTAAGTGCTTATTTATCTTTTTTTTGTGTGCTGAGAGATTGCTATATTTTATTGAATTACAGTTGCAAGTATAATCTCTTTTTGCCATCAAATCACAGGATACAGGTCACCTGAGCTACGCATGCCCCAAAAACATTCTGGGAGAGAGGGAACCTCCGAAGAAAAAAGAAAAGAAAAAGAAGAAAAAGGCCCAGCAACCTGAGCATGTGTACGTATTGTAAAGCTGATACTGTGAGATGTTGTGTAATAGATGTCATTTTTTGTAACTCCTACGTCTTTTACTGTATAGTGAAGAAGAAGAAGAAAGTGAGGAAGAGGGAGAGGACCCAACCTTAGATAGTCTGAGCCAAGCCATTGCTTTTCAGGTAAGTGTGCAGATATAGAAAACTAAGTAGGGAGTGTAGACATATAATTTAACATTTTATTAACTGAATTATATTATGGAAAGTGTGTCCTTGTGACCTAAACATAACTTGTAACAGCTCTACTGACATACTGCCTCAAAAAAGGGGATAGCAAGGAGGTAATATGAATAACTGCTGTTTGAGGTGGAGGCTAAGGGAAGTAGAATTGACTGCATTTTAACATATATAATGGGCTTTATAAATTTTTTTTTCTCTGTCATAATTCTTCTTCTTTTGTGTCCCACCCAGCAAGCCCGTATCGAGGAAGAGGAGACACAGACGAAGCAGGCACTTTTGGCTCAAGAGGACGGTGCTCACGCTTCATCATCCTCAGACTCTAAGAAACCAAGGATCAAAAAGAGCGCATACTTCAGTGACGAGGAGGAGCTCAGTGATGACTAATATTATTAATAATAATAATAAAAATAACAACAATAATAATACAGTTTGGACATAAACGTGTTTCTCAAATATGGCTTTATTTTGAAAGTTGTACTGTATAATATTGGGAAGTTAAAAACATGCTTCCATTCACGCTGTAATGTTTCCACAGTAGGATTTTTTTTTTTGTACATAGAACTGAGGCTTTTTTTATATTTTTAGAAGCACTGTATAATTGTTCTTGGGTTGATTTTTTTTGTGTGTGTGTGTGTGTGTGTGTGTATGGTGTTTTTCTCAGTCAATAAAGCCTTGTTTTTTAATGACAAACCAAATGAACTGCTGGTTGTTCTGGTATTAACCGCAGAACTGCAGATAAAGAATGCTGAAAAACATTATTTACTACTTTGCTTAGTTCAATTAAGTAAATGGGAAAAAAGAAAGTACACACAACTTACGGTCAATTTACTGGTTGGATTATTTTTAGGTATGAGTAATTCTGTCTATAAAATGTCAAATTGTGACAAATGTGTGTCAGTTTAGCAAAAGGTTGTGAATTTCTATGGCCGGCAGCCAAAAAGTATAACAAAAATGACAAAATTGGCTATTCATTTTAAATGTAACATATAGGCTATATTTAAAAAAGAAAGCATGGTTTTGTCTCTTTTCTACAAAATTACCAAAAATGATTATCAAAGCTGGTAGGAGCAATTCTGAGAAACTTGTAAAGATCTAGATAGCGTATGCAACTCCTTAATATTGCAACAGCTAAAATTCAGCAGTTGGAATTTCCCTGCGGTAAAATCCCATCCCTAGGAGATAATGGAGAACTCAGTTGGTTGTCCTTGATATGAAACCGTTTGGAAACCTTGGCCCAGTCCCATCCTTTGAAAACCAGCATGTTAAATGAAAGTCACGCTACAGTGGTTCGCTTGGAAATGTGGTTTTTGATGCTCGCTTGCGTCAGCACGCAAATAAAGCGTGGGATTCCCCGATGTTTGATGCGCCTGTTATCTAAACCACTGCGGTATTTCTGCAGCCTGCGAGTCTAACGCGAAGATACAGGGAAATGAGGATTCCCAATACAGTGAGCTGATATGAGCGGTACCCGTCTTAACACATTGCTGTAGACGCAACATTAACTACTATGGCTGGCTATGTTGCATTCACGTGCTATAAGAATTATGTTAATTAGGTGCGACCACTAGCAGTAAAACTATGTATCAGTTGCATGTGTAATCATTATGTGTAATGTAACTGCACTTCAGTAATAATATTTTCTATTTTTTAGTCATTTTCATTCATTTTTTCAAATATTTTTTCTTGCTTTGAACAGGCTCTGTATGTGTATTGTCACAACCTGGCTCAACAGTAAGTGACAAAAGTGGGAAACCACACAGTCTGAAAATAATAATAGATATGTTAATAAGTAAATTAAGGAAAATATACAATTGTAGGTGTCAGATCAGTATGTATGCAGTGCATGTGTGAGAGTGTATGGGTGTAGAACACAAAGAACCAAACTGTAGACAGGCCAGGAGAAGAGAGAGTCAAATCATTAAGCAGGCTCCTTTACAGCCACCTGAGCCCCACCTGCTCAGGCAGGTATCAACTCTACCCACCAATTACCTGGATTGAAGGGACAAAACGCAGCAAGATACAAACAAAAGAGAGCCCAAACCTGGGGCCGTCACAGTATGCGAAGTGAATCAAGCATGTGTCAATGACGTGCAAATTAGTGAAAGCAGTATGGTGAAAACCTGTCATACCACTGTATATGAGTTAGCTGAATTACAGCGTGCTGGTGCTAACGGGTCACGTTTGACATAATATCAAACACCCCTAGTCCACATAAGTACGATTTTACAGCGGGTACATGAAGGCGGCATAGATGCATCAAGAGGAATGTCAGCCTCGGGAAGTAATCCAGCCTCTGATTGGTCAAAGGGAGTCACGTGACCATTTCCCAAGCGGAGTTTCCACGACAGCTGGAAGCCGAGCGGCACGGGCGCATCGCTTCTTTGCTAAAATTATCGGAAATAACACGACTTCTGCTCGTCTCAGCACCTCCAGATAAACCCTTGTCTGGCATGGGCGACAAGAGGAGTCCCACAAGGTAACGACCGAGTCAGTGTGTTCGAGATATTTAAGCTAAGAGAGGGGAGCGGACATCGACCAGCGCGAGGGAAAAAAAGGGTTTTCTCCACGGTCTCGGTCTCTCTCTCTCTTTTCTCGCTCTCTCTCTCACCGCACGTGTGTATGTGCGCGCGTGCGGGTGTGTGTGTGCGCGCGCGGGTGTTAAAACCTCATCGCCAATTACAGTGTCGGATCACAGAGCGCTTGCAGATGATTTCCTAAATCCTATAGGCTTACCCAGATGTTTGCTATCGATAGCCTTCGTGGATGCGAGCTGAACTCACTCTTGTCTCCTCTCGCCCCCTTTCCTCTTCTCTTCTGCCACCCAATTTTCGTGTTTTAATTTTCTTCTTTCTGTTTCTTTTTTACATTTATTGTTTTAAAAGGCCGAAGCGTCAACCGAAGCCCTCCTCCGACGAGGGGTTTTGGGACTGCAGCGTGTGCACGTACAAGAACACGGCAGAAGCTTTTAAGTGCATGATGTGTGATGTCAGGAAGGGGACATCAACAAGGTAAGCGATGGATATACATTACCTTTGGTCTCTTTTGCATTAGTGGGTCTCAAATGGGGGTCCTTGGGGACTGAGGGGCAGCCCCCCTCCCACCCCCCAGTAAAATGACAGTTTAATCTCACTACCACCCCTTTCCCCTATAAGCAATTTGTGCATTTGTACCACGAGACAATCGATTAATAGAATTTTATGTGTTTTTCCCCACTGTAACTATACATATATAACTATATAGCTATATGGCTTGTTGTTCTCTTGTATTTTTCTGGTGATAATTGCATTTATTCTGTTTGTTTTGGTGAAAAAGACAACAATTACTTTATCAAACTCAACATTTGTGAATCCTCTTTTCCCTCTGAGCAGAGCATTGTAGCCTACTCTATGTTCTTGGCCGGGTGTTGACACTGACCTCCGTAAAATGAGAGAGAGGGATGGCTTGCTCTTTAAGCACACACATCCATCTTGTTGCCCCGGAGATATTTGTAACAGAAAGGGCGGTGAGGTGGGGGGGGGGGGTTACTCTTAACAAACTCACACACACAGGTACTCAAGCAGAAATATACAGCGTGTAGGCGCACACACACACTCTGTGCCCTCTGTGCTGTGGCTGATATTTGTCCTGACACCAGTGATTTGAAGCAGGAAATGACTGTTATTCCTGAGTGGCAGTCATTATCAGGATGAAAACACAACAAAGGACGAGAGGAGAGGAAGTGCAGCCGTTAGCTCTGGCTATGGGAAGCAATGTGTGTTGTTACATGATCTCCCTCCTTAATGTATAGCCAATTATCCTCTGCGTTAGCACACCTCTCCCACTGATTTAAACAGCAACACCAACATGTCAGTTTTGATGCCTTTTCAGAAATGTGGTATTTCCTCACGTCAGTGCATGCGCTTCTAAGGCCGTGTGTGTTTTTGTGTGTGTGTGTGCACTTGTGTCTGTGTGTGTGTGGGAAGGCTAGTTGTGAAAAGAGGTTGTCAGAGCAGCTGCCAGACAGACAGCCATAGCTCATTACTATGCAACAGCTTAATCAGCCTGCTGTCATCAGGACACACACACGCTCACGTACAGATGCACTCAACATGCAAATTTTACACATGACTGCATACATATTCGTACACAAACACACGCTCTTAATACACACTCAAGTGCGCTGTTGCTGCTCGCACAAACATAGAGATTGAGCGGCAGACGCGCTGTTGTCATAGGGTCCTGCTTATTGCAAATGAGCGTTGATTGTTGAGAGGACACTCCAGGGACTCTGTGTGCTTCTGTAAAAACAAGCGGCTTTGCCAAGAACCTGTCTGAATCCTCGCGTCATCAAAAGCTGTGACACCCTTTGTCTTCCCCATCTGGGCAGTTTTTGGGGGGGAAGTTGGCAAGGACACAAGGACCCAGAATTACCTCGCTATGCCCCTGACACTCGGCGACAAATTTAGAAAACGTCCACGTGAAGGTCTTATTGAATGTTAATAACCCACTGTCTTCCCAACTGCAGTGCTGCAGAAATGTTTTAGTAGTATTAGCAGGAGGAGTAGCAGTGTTGTCGTGCTCTTGCAAATAGCCATACGCAAACTCTTACTCACACCACACGCAGGCTAAGGCTGCAGCAAAATGGCCACACAGGTGGTCGCAGATGTTAACGACCGAACACAGCGGACAACTGGATATCTCAGCAAGCAAGCTGAAGGTGCTAAAGGGCAAACGACATGCTGAATATAAATGTAGGATGCAGCAAAATTCCCTCGGTGGTTGCTAAACAAGCATGACTGAGCTATTACTGCGAAGTAATGAATTAAAGCCTGACACTGGCATGGAGTGTCCAGCCGTTAGAGGAAGTGTCCCATAGCCTGAAGGTCACAGGTTTGACAGCCAGTCTGGGTTCTGAGGAAGTGGCTTAAATCAGCTCATCACTTGTCAAAGAGATCGAAAAACACCAACTAACTGCATAAAATGTCACTTTTGCCTGACAGCACCTGTGTCTTTTAAGCAAGCACTAGAGGCGATGAGTGCTAAAATAAAAAGGCCACATTTTTGGTAGAGAAAGATAGCCGTCGAGATATACAGATGAATGTTTTATGAAGGTGAAGTTTAGCAGGCCTCACTGCCTAGATCCCTCTGATGTGGAGAGATGATCGACTGCAGGGACCCGACCCCGGCAGCTGATTGAACGTTGTCGAGGTACTGTGAGTTTGGCTGAAGACGAGGGGATACATCAGCAGGATTAGACTCTCTTATCGGAAAAGGTGGATTGAAATGGAAGCGGGAGACAGACTGACAAAGAGGGAACTGGCTGACACGCCGCTAATTCTGTCAGTGGCTCGGAAACTTGCACGGCTACGAAGTCAAATTTGAAGAAAGACAAGGGAGACCTGCACACACAGAAATAAGTGTTTAAATATTCTCTCTACACCTACAGTTTTAGCTCTCTGGCCGCAAACCTGATGTAGCCATTTGTGCAGATTAGTATAGAAAAAAAGATGTTTCTTTTCTACGGCAAGCTGCTAGCTTACAGTCTTTAGCTAATTAAAGCTCTCTCGGAAGAGCTTTGGGATTGCAACATATCATGCAGCCTCATTACCTTAAGACTTTGCTGAGGAAAAAAAGTGGGAGAGACATTTTATCTTCCTGCCACTCTTCGGGCTCAGTCCCAGCCTTTGAAAACCAGCATGATAGATGAAAGTCACCGTGCAGCGGTGCGGTACTTCAAAAGAGGCTGTTGATAAGTGCAAGGTTTGACTCCTACATCGGCGGAAATACCCAGGCAGGGAACCCTTGGGCAAGACACTGAAGGGCCTCCCACTGCACCCGTCGTTATGACCTGTCCTGGATTTAGAATATCATCTTAATGTTTAAAACATAGATGGAAGATGAGGCACGTTTCAGAGTTAATGCTCCTCTCTGGTGTTTGGAAGAAAAGCTGAAAATGTCATGTGAAGTGGCGTTGACAGACAGCCTAAACACCGCCCATAGCCAAATACTACTGGTTGTAATAGAGCGGTGTGTGTGACCTTCTCTGGTGTCTAGCCGCCGCCACCTGCATCTGTTCACTGAGCTGTGCCCTGACAAGTCGGGCCCAACAGGGGAACACTCGCTGTGTGCATGCTCTGCGTTCAGGAGCTTGTTGGGCAGCATTATATTTCTACAGGTCAGGACAGTGAGCTTGATCATGTTCCTATTAGTTCTCTCTCTGCCTCTGGCTCTCTCGTTTGTGATCACTTTCGCCCCACCTTTTTGTCTCCTCGTTCTCACAGCTATTTGTGTTTGCTCTCTGTCTGCCTGCCTCTCTCTGGGTCTCCTTCTCCATCTCGCTCTCTCTGTCTCTCCAGGAGTTGAACTTAACCTCGGGCGTCTCTCTGTGACAGATTGACTGATGTGCAGGTTTTGTCAACTCCACCTAAACAGCACAAGCCGTTCTGTGCTGGCTGGGAACCTGTCAGCGTTTGGCTGTTCAGATGTTGTTTTATCATCCTCCGTGCAAGCTCGCCCTCGCAGTGCACACATGGAAAATTGGGCTGTAATTGTGCAGTTGGCCTGATGTGCAGTTTGTTTACCCTCTTCAAAAAGTAGCTTTCAATATAATATAGTCCATAATATAGTCCAGAGTATCTAGTGCAAGATTTTAGCATATTTATTGAGTTTATTTATACATATGAATACAATAAAACACTCAAAACAGAGGCAAGGCAAATATGTATGAAGGCAAGTACTTATATACAAATACCTATAAGTAGAGCTGCAGCTGTTATCTGTAATCTGTTTTTTTTTTATATAAAATGAAGTCCAAAAGGACATCTTAAAATGTCTTCATCGGTTTACACAAATCTAAAAAGAAATTTTCATTTGCTATATCGTGAAGCCAGCAAATACACCAAAAGAAGACGGTGAATAATCACATGTAAACAAGATAAGTGAAATAAAAATGTTAGCACAAAAATCCAATAAGCAGTGCAGTGGGTAAAAATTGGTCAGATTGTTGGAATTTGGCAGCTCGCATGCATGAACTTTATGAATCTAGCCAGCGATTGGTTGTAGTAGATATCCATTCTAAATATGAGATACTGATCAGCCTGCAGGAGCCATCTGATTGTGTGAAACAGAAACTGTGAGCCATGGCATGGCAGAGGCTTTCATAGAGAAAGTTTATCTACCGAGTATATGGTTTATTTTAAATTGGGTATCAAAATGCAATACAGAACTTGTAGTGCAAAAAGGAAAGGATTAATTATCTCTTTTTTTCGGTCTGTTTATTCTCTTAAAATAGCTGCACTGGTAAAAATGTGTGCAACTGCCACAGAATAGTAATCTTCAATACATTATGTACATTAAAATGCTGCCGGAAGGAAAATTTATTCGTTTGAAATGCACAGGGTAAATTAATGACTTTGCTGTAATTTTTATATTGTTCCACTGCCTGTGTACACATTTACACTTACAGGACTTGAATACTTGAGTTTCCTTTTGGCAATAAAATCAGTTATCCTATCCATACATATCTATTAAGCGTATTATTAGCCTCATGGTAAGGTTTGACCTCCTCCACACCAGTTAGCTACATGTGTGAGAGAAAGCTTTACCAGACACCACCATTTGGCTGCTGTGCTAATGTCAGTCTGATAACACAAAATGTGCAACTAGCAGAGCGCACCACGTTTGACTCTCACCTTAGAGTCGTGTGTTTTCATTCACCTTGAGCACTGACAATCAAAACGCTGGGTTTGTTTTGGATTGTCTTACAACACCTTTGGCAGTAAATGTTAAATGTTGCGTCACGCACACCCTCACACAGTAGAGGGATTAATGAAACACATCCAGGTGTTTTCAGACATTTCTTCGTCGTGTGCGTTCTCACTGTTTTGGAATCGTTCTTGGCAGGCACCAACAAACGCTGACAAACAGGTTTCATGAGCTGGACCTGCGAGTGAGAGTGACAAATTGTTATGTAAGTAAAATGACTGATACAAATTGCATCTGTAAACAGGTATCACGCGTGTAAAACACA